TGAAACACCATAATAGTAAATAGCTCTGCATGAATTCAGAATCCTGGATGTGTTAATATAATTGTAGCTACTATGTTGATAAAAACGATGATCACTATATATCAGTTAGTATGGCATATGCAAATTTAAAGAAGTTACTTTCTGAAAATTTGAAACTCTTTATAACTAGACCTAAAAAGGGGGTTATTTATCCTAGTAGTATTCAATTTTTAAATAACATTTGGGCAAATTTGCTGTCTAGAAAAGACACAACAGTAGGAGAGACCGGCTAATACTGAGACCTGAGAACTCTCAGACATATTTGTTAAAATTAAAATTCTATGCTTCATCTTGCTGAAGTTAAAAGAAAACAGGCGCAGAGTATTCTCTGAGCTGAAATAATGCTGTCCATTAAGCCTGCAGGTCTTACACAGCCTGGTCTATTTGTAGGATCTTAAACTTTGCTGATACCTTTTTATTTTGCTCTTCATCTTCCTTTTCACAATATTTGCATTATATGAATTTTAAATTAATACATTTTACTGATTTGTAGATGCTTTCCGACTGTGTGTAGGATTTTACCATATTCGTACAGAAATATTGGGTAAACACCTATACATCCCAGTAAATCTGCCTAAAACTTTGACCTTTTTATTATGTATAATGACTTTTAAAGACTTATGGATACTTCAATCTAAAATAAGCCAGATGCGCTTTGACTTGTTTTGGAAAATCACCTTTCAGCTCTTTGCTTCCTTAATCATCTGTTTTACCACTTACTTTTTTTCTTGTGCAATGCAAAAGCCACCAAAAGGCATGTATTTTCTGCTTTACAGGGAGGGCAGATTCCATATGAAGGCAAGAAGAGTAAGAAGAATTGTGGTAAGAAGAATTGTGGTAAAGTTTTGTTGTTTTTTTGGTTTTTTTTTTTTTTATTGTGTATGTCTTTGGTTCATCAAACAATAGAACTTGTGGCAAGCTGTTTAGGGTATGGCTATATATAGGAAGAAAAAGGAAAGTATGCATTTTATTAGATAAGGAACATTTTAATGCTATTAATCTTAGCACTGTTTCTCTCAGCCTGGACTGATGTTTTTACTGAATTCTGCAAATCCAGAAGTGTTTCAGGTTTGAATAATTTAGCTTTTGAATTTTTGAACTACCACTTTAAAGAGAAGTATATATTGAGAAATGTATTTTTCTGGAATATTAATGAATACTGTTTAAAGCATATGATACAGCTTTGGGCACATTTACAACTGGTAAATATAAGCAATATATCATGACATTGATCTATTTACTTTGAAATGTATCTATTTTGAATTAAAATGCCACTATTAAAATATGAAACATATTAGGACCAAATAGCACTAAACACTGTGAATGAGTATTTTTTTGAGATTGGGTTTTTCAGTGGCGTTGGAATTCAAGATAAAGAATGTACCTTTTTTCTTTTCATTTTCTTTCTTTGGTTGCTGTACTATATATACTTTATATTTACTAGCAATTGTTGATTTTAAGACATGTTGTAAAGCATCAAAGAGTGAAGAAAATGCCTGAGCTAAGACAAAAAATACCACAAAACTATAATAAGTATTGTGAAAACTATAGTTTTTTGAGTTATTTTGGCCCCTCTACTGAAAATCTGAGTGCTGCTTAAGTGTGCAGTAGAAGAAGTAGCAGTTGGTTTTTTTTCTTTTTGTCTTCTATAGCAGAAACGAAGTGACATCCAGCTTTTCTGTTGGCTTTGCTGCTTAGGAGTGCTTAGTATGTGTGCACATGCATATAAATAATTCCCTTTTCATGTAGTTTTTTGCCAAAGTGCCCTCATTTGAGTGACATTTTTGCTCCATTTACATAGATGTTAAAATTTCCATTAACTTCCCCAGGGCTGGAATTCCACCTGTTTCGTCTAAGTTCACCATAGTTCACCCTCATGTATTTAAAAGCATTTATATTTTAATTGCTTCAGTGGAATGCAGTTGTCGTGACCGGCAAATCTTGCAGAGGGCAGAAAGGATCATCTGGCAAGGAACAATGCCACATAAGGGCTTACACAACGGAACAGAAATACTGAGCACTACATTCAGGGAGAAATTGCATGGTAAGGGGCATTTCAAATTAATCTTCTTTTACACAATTTTTTTCAAGTAGGACACTGATGCTTTTAAACAGTTTTGTCCAAGTTTGCAGCTTCATTCCTGCATACGTGTTGTTGTAAGCAACAGTTTAAAATGTGGGTCTAACGAGATGAAGACAAATCTGTTAACACTGCACAGACAGAGCAAATTATGCATCTTGGCTGGTTTGGATATCTATTCATGACAAAAAAAGAAACAAAGGGTGAAAGTGAGTGTTAGCAATAAAGAAAAGTTTTCTATAAAAATAAGTCAGTGCTTTAGCCCCTCCCAGTTCTCTCACCTTTTCCCCCTGCATCTTGCCTGCAACTGCAGTTGTAGTAAAAGCTGTTCAGTGGAGCAGTTTCGCATTGGCACAGGAGATGGAATGTTCTCTGCATGTCTGTGCTAAGTATGGCTTCAAACCTAAATTTCTCTACTTTCTGCTTCTTAGTGTATTTGCCTCAACTCTTTTCTGGATCCAGGTCTAACTCTGTCTTCTGTGTGCTTTAGCTAAACTCTGAGATAACTGGAAAAATGTGTTGCTGCAAAGACAAGATGGAATATCATCCATTTGCTGCTGCTGCTGCTTCATCTTGGATTATCAGTTTTTCCGGTACTTCCTGGATTTAAAGCAGATAAGACAATGTACAGACATTTTCACTGGAGTGCATCAGTAACTGCAGGTGAGGAAGTGTTTGGGATTTCTAAGCTGCTACTGGCAACAACAGATGTGTCACCAGTTGTGGTTTAGCTTCTTATATCATGGGAGGCTGAGAGAAGCCATTTTTTGGAGATCATGACAGAGGTTTTTAAACAGTGTGGTTTTTCTTGTTCCCAATTTTTATGTCACTAGTCATTTGAACTGCTAATAATGTGAACGGTGTTGTCCATAAATACATATTATGGCAGTCCCTAATGTGGTGCTCCTCAACTAGTATAAATAACTATTCCTTTGATTTATATGAACCGGAATAATCCTGTTTACTTGAAGATCTGGCCCAGAGTACAGGAAGTGTATGTGTTAGGGTAGGTTGCAGCAGTTTCTAATTCTTCTACTTGCTGCTTTCATGCAGATGTGAAGTGTTTTTCAAGGTTGACATGGTCAAATTACATTATGGTCAACACAAACTCAATAAATCAGGTATTTAGTTTTCTCTTTGTAGTGTCAGTATTTTGCAAGGGAAACAACACCCTTGGTTTAGGAACTGTTTCATTATTGGTTCACCGGAAACGAAGACCATATTTGGGTCTGGACCATGAAACATTACTGAAATTTTAATAGGCAGAAATACTTCTTTAAAGGTAAACTGATTGTATGTCCAAACTCTTACACAATTAAAATGCTTAGCTACTTCAGAGCATATATTTGATTGACATTAATGAGACAGTTTATGTAAGGTAGATGAATCTAGGTATTTAGAGCATATAAAGTGAAGTAAAAAAAAAATAGAATTTTGTCGCTTGAAAGAGCAATGAGAAATGCAGTTCTTCTCAAATAAAAAAAAAAATAAATATGATGCCTTTTACTAGGGACAGAGCTTTTACAAAGGGTCTTTCAACTGAGGATCTCACAATTCTGAAATAAAGAATTAGGGCTCAACATTGAAGCCTTTATCAAATGAACAGTCTGAAGGAGAAGAGTGCTGTTATGATTTATCAGCCATGGGATTGGGCTCTTGCACCTCACCCTGAGAGGTAAGACAGCTTTACTTTCTATAATTTACAGAATGAGCAAGCAAGAAGTGTTACTTGCCTAAAGTTACACCACAAGTCTGTGGCAAAGCTGTGGAATAAAACACCCCAGCAGATGTGTACATAAGCTGCAATTTCATCTTTCTCTCATGATTCTAAGTTGGGAAGAACAACAACTGTTTTGAAATTCAAACCAGGAAGATAATCATGTCTTTCCATGTGATTTGTTGGTTATCCTGGCTAGTTATCTTGATTGAAATGAGGAAACACATTCCAAAATCTGCTGAGTGGGTGGGAGGATTTCGAGTATGGGAGCTGGGGGTAGAAGAAAGTTTACTCTATATTTTCTGTTCTGAAGACCAATTGGCTAAATTGATGGTAAGCTGATAAATTTTCATATTAGGACCACCTTTCTTTGTTTTTCTCCCATCAGAATGATTCAACTAGAAAAAGGTAAAATATGTCTTGGATATATATATATAAAAATTAAAAACGTAAACACTACTTTCTGTCTTCTGTATATCTGTTACTTGTTTTACTTGTCTGTGTCCTTCTATCTGGTTCACATTTTTAAGTGCAGTACAGAAAACTGCCACAAGCAGACTTGGAGAACCTGACAAAAGCGCAGTTTGGCACATTCAGATAAGAGCCAGTGGCAGTGCTCAGTCTCACTATTTCATCACAGACAGATGATATTACAAGTGCAAGAACATTCAGGTTTGTAAATGATAGATTTTAAAATGCCAAACAAATTTCAGTAATTCACTGTGCATTACAGCATCAGTGCCATAAATAGGTGTACTCTCTTGGTTTCTTGCATGGCTGATTTTTAAATTTATGATGAACTACATAAAAGTATATAAAATTAAAGTACACTTACACTTAAAAGATAAAAGCTAGTTTCTGCCAGTGTAATAATGTACATAATTGGTTCTTCACAGCTAGAATCCAGACACTCTTTCATTCATGCATTTACACCATGGCTGTCTGATTTATGGAACTGTTGAGAGGGTGCTTTTTAAAGAGGTGGGGGGAAGGAGAAAATAACCCCAAACATTTCTTACATTGTTACCTGACTTGGGACCTACACGTGTGATTATGTAAAATCTATGGCTGTTTGTTCTTTCTTGCAGAGTATTCTGTGCTCACTGAGTGGGAGGGTCACACTGTGAGACTAATAAGGACAGAGCTGCATCCCCCTCTACCACTCTTTGGAGACTCACTCCAGCAACTCCTCGGCACTACAGCAGCTCTCTACAGGAATTTTCAGCGCTTCTGGGGGACACACCAATAAAAAAATTAAAGGTAAGCCACTCATTATTTGTAGTCCATTATCTAGACATCTTACATGTGTACACTGACACACAGTACAGTATTACTGGCTTGTTTTGTGGTGTTTTTATTCAGGGTTTTTTGGTTTTGATTTACAAAATTGTCATTTAAGTTTGTCATTGCTAATATTAACTATGTCTTATATAAACATGATGGATACCGTAAGTTTTTAACATACTGCAATCAGACGATATAGTGCGCTATAGTATTGTGCTCATGGTTGTGTAAATACATTGTATATGCTAGTGGGTGACTATAGGTATATGCTAAGATATGCAAATAAACACAGCCCTGCTAAATGAACAGTAATTTACAAAACTGATTAAACTGTTGCGAGTTGCCACAATGCTGATTGTGCATATATTTACATTTAAAAGCCTACCTTGTAATTGGCACGCGTGCCGGCTGGCTTGCCCGCAGTTGGTGGGAGCGCGCTGGTGAGTGAGCCGCGGCACGGGCGGGCAGTGCCCTGCGGGGCGGGGGCACCCGCAGCTCTGGGGCAGAGCCCGGGGATGCCGCGGGCCGCGTCCCGGCCCGATGGGCCCGGCTCGCCGCCCCCGGCCCGCGGGGACCCCTCACCTGCCGGCCCGGCGCAGGTGCCGCCGCAGCGCCCCGCGGCACCGGGGCTGCCCCGCTCGCAGGAGCCGCCGGCCCGGGCGGGCTGCTGGCCCCGCTCCGCCCCGGGGCTGCGGGGGAAGCGGCGGCGGGCGCCTCGCTTGCTCACCGGGCTCTCCTGGCTCCCGGGCCGGCGCTCTCCCGGCTCCGGGGCGGGCGCGGCGGAGGGAGCCCGGGCCGGGGGCGAGACGCGGAGCCGAGAGCGGGAGAGCGGCCCCGGCAGCGGGGCGGGGGCGCTGCCCGGGCGCCCGCCCTGCCGCGCCGGAGAGCTGCCCGCTTGCCTTCCCGCCCGGAGTGTTGAACCCTCCCTCCGGCAAACGCAGCTCGATCCGAGGGAAGCGAGGCTGCCGGCACTACCGAGTTAGAGGCTGTGCTGCCCAGGCTCGGGGCGCCCCGAAGGCTGCGGTGCTCCGGCTGTGCGAGCGAGCGGAGCCTCCTGGAGCAGCCGGCGGGAGAGGACCCGAGCCTGGAGGTGCGGCGGCAGCGAGGGGGTGGCGGCATTGATGATCGGAGCCCTTCAGAAAACCAGACCTCCGGAGCGGCAGCTCTAACTGAATTCCCGATGCCTGCTTGTAAAGCAGGTGCAGGAAATTAAATGATAATTTATTTGAACATGTATTCGCTTTGATGCTGCTGGGAAGGCTAGAAAAGTTAATCATGATGTAGTTGCTGTCAGTACACGACAGAATAGCTTTGATGATGAATAAGGTGCCTTGCGAAAATAATGATAAAAAGTGCATCTTAGGTATATGACTGCTTTTCTTACAGAAAATGTGCTAGAAAAAAATAGTAGACGTTTTCAGTGTTTCCTTAAATTCATGTGTATTTATACGTCGTAGTTGTCTTAGAAGAAAGCTTTTGTCCTCTAATGACAGTACCAGTTTGTGTTGTTGAAGCCTGTACTTTTGTGAGATTTAAACTGGAAATTCAACATACGCTGCTCTAGGCACTTTGCAAGGTGGCGAAATACCGCATTTTGGTTTCTTTTGTGGTTAAACTCAGACAATTGCGTGTTGCCGTTGTTCCGTTTGAGGACTACTTCAGTAGTCACCGTGAATGTTGTGACACCACAGTTTAGCTAATATATTGAAAAATAATTTTGGGAGAAATATAAAAGAAAATTAGTAATTACTAATGAAATGAACATTCAGTGCCTTTACAATTAATATCTCCAAGATAATATTTCTAAGGTGTTACTTCTGAGTTTATTAATAACAAACTAAAAAGGAGTATAATTATAATTTAATTCCAAACTGGCATAAATCTTTCTTGTAGTTCATTAAACAGATAAATTGTACACTTGTATGTGACTAGCAACTTCCTCTTCACAGTTAAGAAGCTCTCGTGCGTGGTTTTCTGACAAAGTGAGGTAGGAAGAATAAGATGAGATTGTTCTGAATATGTTTATTTTTTGTTCTAGATTTGTAGCTGTTTGTTCACATGTGTCCAGGGGGAGATGAAGTACATTGGATCCTGCATAGTTTGGCTTTGCATGGCAGTCTTCCTCCTTCCTGTTTCTACTTCCGTGGCTGTCAGTGACCAGACAGGTACTTCCAATTTTCTTGCCCATCACAGCCCAAAGGCATAAATCTCAGTACTGAAAAATTTTTAGTAAATAAGAAGAGCACATGGAAAACGAACACTATGAATGGATAAAATTATACAAGGTTGTTTAAATCTCTTTTCTGAAATTAACTAAGTTTGAAGCAGTTCCAAAGCAGGCTTTCTGCTTCCTGTGCTTGGAAGATTCATGTTTGGAGGTAATTGTAGTTCCTAGGGGTTTCATTTTGTACTTTTCTTTTCCTACCATACAAAACAAGATTATAAATCAGAGTTTGCAAAACTTTTGTGAAAAAAATCATGTGGCTTTATTAGAGCAGACCAGTTATCACATTGGCCTAAACAATCTAATGCTCATGTTAACCACACCTATACTTAATCTCTAGACTGGGTCATATGTTTCACACAGAGCAAAAAAAACCCCTTTTTCCTAAGAAGATGGGGGAAAGGAATAGAAACATGTTGTTTACCTTAAAAGCTGTTACCTGTCTTCCACGAATTTTCTCACATTTCTCTCTTCTTTCTCTTACTTTCCACATGCTATCTAGTGTTCTCACTTAAACTCCAAATTAACTCTCCAAAATGTGAATTCTGTCTTAAAGATGCATCATGCATGCTTGTAAAACATGGAACATCAGTTTTCTAGAATTACTCAGTCTCAGCAAGTACTTGAACTTATAATTTTCCTACAATTATTAGCAAGGAGAACATGTTTATTACTATTTAAATTAAGTTGGGTTTTTTTCTCAAAAATAAAATTAAGTCTTAGTAATGCTGTTCCTTTCCAGAAATCTTATAAAATATAATAGAAACTACACACACTCAACAACTTTAAATCTCAATAACTCATTTGTAACTCAGGCCCAAGAAGTTTAAAAGCCCATGACTAGGAAAATAATCCTTTTACTACCCCTGGAAACTATAAAAAGTAATAATGAATAAATAATAAGTGTAATGTGTGGGCTCTGAGGTAATAATAATGCATTGTGAAGAGCCAGAATTTAAGTCAAAGTCTTTCCCCTTTTATTTTTAGGGTAGTGAGGCTAAGTGCTCTGCTGATGAATTATTCTTAACCCCTCTGAGAGAGCAAGCCTACATCATAGGTGTGAAATCATTCTGTCTGAAAGAAGAAAAATAGGTTTTATTCTGTCATTGCTAGGTGGTGGGTTGCAGAAGGGAAATTTTTAAAGTGCTAAAATGGTGAGAGTACAGAAGGTTCCCTAGCAATGTAGATTGAAGAATGTTAAAACAAAATTCCAGAAGGCACTGTCTCTTTTCTTTTATATTATTTTTTTCCTAATGAAATGATGCCTTAGTAAAAGTTGGGCCAGCCACAGGAGATGTGGCAGATACCTTGAACTGAGAATAAACAGTGCATCTGAACTGTGTATTACATTCTGTTAGAAGTTTGTAGCCAGGCTTGAGGTTGCAGTTTTCCTTAGCCTGGTCACCACAAATGTGTCAAATATGGGTCCAGTTGAACTGCTAGGAAGAAAAGGAGAGACTGAGCCTCTCCTGTGAATAACTGAGGGTGTGCACTTGAAAGAGGCTTCTTCAGTTTGTGGTGGTACAGGCAGATGGTGAGGAATAACAAGTCAATAGCTGCCAGCTTGAGCAGCTCTGCCAGCAGCAGGTATATGAGTTAAGCCCAGAGTTAAACTCCAGTTGATAACAGGAAAGAGACTCTACTAGAGTTTGCAGGGATGGTTACTGCCAAAAAATACATGCAAGTTATAGACCAGAAAGCAGGAGTTAGGAAAGAATAGACCCAGTAGCAGAGCAGCGGTAAAAGTGGTACAGGTCTTTCTGCCAACCTTTTGCTCATCTGCTCTGTTCAGCTGAACCAAGTCCTCTGTGTTGCAAAGTTGTCACAATCCAGTTTGATAATTTGTATGCAGGTGAATCTGTTAAAAATTTGAAATGAGCTTTCTTCATGAAGAGGGTAATATCTAAAGGTTTTTTTTTGTTTTTCCTGTCTTGCATTCAGTCTCTCTTTCTTGGGCCTTTGTTCCCTCTGATGTATAAGTTCTGTTTAAATCAACATCTGTCCTTCAATATTCTGCCTAGATGATCTTTTTGGTTTTCTTCCTTCAACCTCATATACATAGCATTTATTTCTGTAGGCTAATATGGAAACTTTTCCAGCAAAGTACATTCAGGTAGGCTCTGAGATTATTATATTTACATCTTGAAATTTCTCACTGATCTATTTGAATCATAAGGAATGGCTTCAAGTACATGGAAAAGGGTAGACTAGAGTTAATTTGAGGGTGGTGAGAGAAAGAAGTGTGTTAGGGGAAGGATTGACTTGTGTACATATGTAGAGGAGAGCCTTCTGAGCAGGCATGCTGAATATGCTTTGTGACTTATTCATTGGGCCAATATTGTAATAAATAAATACCAGTATTGAAAAAAGAGACATGGGCTGAGAGAGTATGCTGGATCTTCTTGGAGCAGTCCTCCTTAGGCTTTGAGGGTGCCAGTAAGCATTAGATTCACATAGAGGATTTCTTTCAGTTCTCATGTTTTGATATGCTTGGTGCTCATTAGAAGGAAGCACTCGCTTCTCATGATGGAGTATAGCAAATCTGAGGGGAGGCAGTTCAGGAGTTTTCCACAGGCATATTTTTGATCTGACTGCAAGCGTGCTTTCTTCATGTTGTCTACTTATTATTATTGGGAATATTTGAGGTTTGAGTGTGGATGCAAGGTCTTTCTATACTGACACATGAAGTTCTAATTTGATCATTCCTGTGTGCTTTATTTTAAGAATATTAATATTTTGTCTTATTCCCAGATCATTGCTTCTTTTTCAACTTTCTTTTACAATTACTTTTTTTTAAAGTCTCTTGCTAATCCATGAAAAATGTGGTATAAACAAAGTCCTGGGGCTATCAGCCATGGTGAATTTTCCTTGTCTTTTGACATGGAATGTGTTGTGAAAAGTATTGGCTGTGGGTCGTGATTTTAGATAGGCGCTCCAACCCAGACACAGTGAGTGATTTCAAGTATGCAAATCAGCACAGCTTTTTGGTTTTCATGTTTTAGTACAGCTAGATACTTCTCTAAATCAATATAACGACTCTACAGTAACTCTTATATTGTATGTATTCAATTTTTCACGTATTCAATGTATTCATATTCCTGATATTCCCATGTAACCTGGCCTTGAATGTTTCCAGGGATGGGGCATCTACCACCTCTCTGGGCAACCTGTTGCAGTATTTCACCACCATTATTGTAAGGTCTAGTCTAAATCTAACCTCTTTTATTTAAAACCATTATCCCTTGTCCTGTCACAAGGATAAAAATCCTCATAAAAATCTGTACCCATCTTTCTTACAGGCCCACTGGCTGGAAGGCTGGAGTAAGGTCTCCCTGGAGACTTTCTCTTCTTCAGGCTGAAAACCTTAGCTCTCAGGAGAGGTGCCCTAGCTCTCTGATCATTTTTGTGGCCTTCCTTTGCACCTGTTCCAACAGGTCCATGTCTTTCTTGTGCTGGGGCCCTGGAGTTGGATGCAGTAGTCAGGGTGGGGGGGTTCTCATGAGAGATGATGGGCAGAATCACTTCTCTTGATCTGCTGGCTATGCTTCTTTAGATGTAGCCCAGGATATGATTGGCTTTCTGGTCTGTGAGCACACACTGTCAGCTGATCTCCAGCTTTTCATCCACTGGTATTCTCAAAGGTTCTTGTCAGGGCTGCTCTCAATTCCTTCAGCCCCCAGTCTGTTTTGATACTGAGCATTGCCCAGGCACAGCACCTCAAGAGGTTGTTGAACCTCACAAGATTCCCATGAGCTCAATTCTTGAGCTTTTCTAGCTCCCTCTGGATGACATCCTGTCTTTCAGGTGTGTCAACTGCACCACTCAGCTTGATGTCATCTGCAAATGTGCTGAGGGTGCACTCAATCCCGTCATCTATGTCGTTAATTAATTCAATAACATTGGTCCCAAATGGGTCACCACTTGTCACTGATTTCCATCTGGACATTGAGGAGTTGACCACTCCCCTCTGGATGTGACTGTCCTACCAATTCTTCATCCTCCAAGCAGCCCACATGTCAAATCCCAGCATCTACAATTCAGAGATACTGTGGGGACCATGTCTTGCAAAGGTCTTGCAGAAATCCAGATGAAATCCATAGCTCTTCCCTTGTCCACTGATGTAGTCACTCCATTATAGAAGGACATGGAGTTAGTCATGCAAAACTTGCCCTTGGTGAAGTGATGCTTGTTGTCTCAAATAATATGAAGTCCTGCTTTTCACTACTTACTCTTCTTCATGGGAGAGTATAGTTCTCCAGGGGTATGAGTATCCTAATCCTCGAACTCTGTTGCTTGGATTTCTTACTTCTGGCTGCCAATGCTCTTGGATTACTTCATAACCATCTAAATAGTCACCAGACTTGAGGTTGACTTCTTTACTGCGTCACGTTCCCTTCATTCTTCCCACCCTTGTCTTAATTAACATGTACATTTTAATGTAATATAATCTTCTTTACAGAGTAAAATAGCAGAACACAAAAATGTCACATCTTATTTCCTGGTGCCTGTATACTTGAGGCTGCAGATATGTAGGAAATCTGAATTCTTGACCTTATTTGAAAGCAAGCCAGCTGGATCTGCTTATCTTCAGTATGCATACATTTGAGGTGGACTCACTGGATATCATTGCTGATATTTGCAAGTGTGTGGTTGACCCTGAAGAGGTTGCCTATGTCTGTGTGTTTATGAAGTCTGATCCAGTAACAGTATGAGAAAAATTTTGGGTAATATGGGCTTCTTCTGCCTGAAGCTTGAGTCGACAGGTGGGTATACATTAGGATATGGGTATACATTACGTTGGTCTTTGCTGTTTGGCCACATTCATTGAGCTGGCCATGGTTACTGATGGAAGCTTCAGTGCCTTTGCAGTGTGCATGTCAGTGGTGATAGATGGCAGGAAAAACATCACCTGAATGTGAAGTTTAATTATAAAGTAGTACATGGGTACTTGTGAAGTGAATCTAGCCATTACAAGTTACACTAACCTGGAGAAGCCAAAACTGCCCACTGGAAGTTACAGTGCACTCAGGAAGTGCACACAAGAGATATCTGTAAGAGGGAGATCGAAGCACACACCACAGTCTCTTCTGTCCTCATTTGCATGGAATGGAAAGCTGAGCATGGTGCCTAGACAGAAGTTGCAGTGTGCTTCAACAGGTGTCCTGATCATTCCAGGAATTTGGAACACGTCATTGCATGTTGCAACAGATACGCCTAGATGCAATGCATTTTTTTTTTTTCTTTTAGTAATGCCATTAGAAAACAAACAAAAAAATTCTTCCTAATCTTAATGGTAAGAGAAAATGCAGTGATCTGTGATGTACCTGCTTAGTCTGCATAAATTAAAATTTTCAAGATTGTTTGATTGATTTTATATTATAACTAGAACTCATAACTAGAACTCATTATTTTATAAAGATACAAGCCAATTTTTTTGTATGGGTAGGTAAATTTATTAATTTAAAGATAAGTTAACTTGACCATTGATATCATTAGTTTAATACAAATTTTTTGTTCAGTCCACACAGATGGAGTTTTATCACGTGCAGGGCAATCTAACGTACAAATGTAAGCTTGCTCTTCTTACTGTTTCATGGATTTTACTGTAATGTATTTCAACAGGTCTGGTAGGTTCATGGTTTCCCACTGGATTAGCAGTAAGGGTTTATCTTGTTCTTTTACATTCCTGAATATCTTTATGTAGACCTTGTCATTCAGCTGCCCATGTGTTGAATGGGAAAATTGCCTGTTTTTTCTCAAGCTAAAGAAAATTTAAGGATCTGCTACCAGTACTAAAAATTGTGGAAGAGGTTAACGCTACAAGCTGTAACTGCAGAAAGAATTTTCATCACTCTATAGTAATGAAAATTGTCAGTCTTGGTATGGGGAGGGTTTGGTCTTGTTATTTGAGAGTTTTCCTGTAGCTCTCTGGTAAAAGGAATAGTGCTGAACTAAAGGAGTGCATCAGTAGCATGCAATAGAAGATTCATCGTAACTCTTTCAGTTCTGGGGATGTGGAATACAAGTAACTAACACTTTAATGGCCTGTCTGTGCCGTGATTGTTATGCCACTGATAAAAATAGGTCCACGGTCCAGTCTGTGGCATGTGAGGAATCATTGCTATCATCTGGATAACACAAAAATTAAGGCTTGAGTCTTTATTTGGAAGTGGAAAAAAGTAGCTGTGGGGAATAGGCTCAAACTTTCTAGTCTTTCACTGCTCAACACACGTGAAAGTTAGTGCTGAATAAAAAAAAAGCACACTTGTGTCCCAGATTCCCTAAAGCTTATATAAGTTTAGGGTAAAATCACCAATAAGTACTCTCTGTCAGCTCTTATAAGTATTGTCAAGAACATAACCAAAAAGAGAATTTGTCTTGAAATGCATTGAATATCTTTGAAAAAAGACCTTTGGAAACATGTAGATTTAAGAAAAACATCTGTCCATGTATGTCTGACATTCTTCTGTGACTTCAGCCATAAATGGTTTCCTTTACGCCAGCTTATTTCTTAGAGCTATAATTTATGTAAATGTACCCTAACAACATTTATTGTTTTAAAGTGGCTGTATATAGAATTCTATAGTTTAATAATCTGTATTTGATTGAAGGTTGAGGTTTGTAAACTAAAGGGTATCTAAGGTGAACCTGTTTCTGTCCTATGCCATGTGTGTACATATCAACTGGTGGACTGGAATTGCTGTTACTGTGTAATTCCAGTGAATGCTTTTCTCACTGTATAAAACTTCCCACTAACCAAGAATGATGAAAGATTTCACTTCAGAGTTTTCAACATGAATATTTTTTACAGTTCGGCATCTTTTCTGGAGAAAGGGAATTTACAGAGTTTTTCATGCATGTGTTTCATCTCATTTATCATGAAACACTATCTGTACAAGGAAAAACATGCATATCCCCGTATTTATGGATCTATATGAGGGAAAGAAAAAATTTATTTTCTTAGAGCCTTAGAAGTAAATTCATTTATCTGTGATGTTACTTGTAGTAGTCAATTATTAGTTCTAACTGTAATTTTACACATGAAGCACATGGAACTTCATGAATCTTACAGAAAAAAAAAAAAAGAAAGGTGTTTCACCCTATCTATTCTTTAAATAGCTGACAATGCTTTATTACCAAAGCTTTTAATACCTCCTGTATTAGCAGGAGGTTTCTTTATGTCTGTATTATATGATATTGTTTCACTTCTACTAGTTATTTCCAATTAGCCGTTCTTAATCCAGATAAAATACTGAAATCTATTTAATAGCATTTAAGAATTTTGAAGGATAATATGCTTTCTACATAACTACAGAATAAATGACAAATTTCACATGCTTTAAGTATTTAAGCTTTCACAATAGCTTTCAAATGTAGCTAGTTTTAATACCAGTGTTTGGTCTGGATGTTCTTACGAAACATTTAGGTATACATGATTTCCAGGTTAATGATAGGACATTCCTTACTTGTTTTATTGAGCTAATGCTTCGGAAACCACCTGGACCTTCATTGTTCAGCAGCTTCAGATACACCTTGGACAACTTTTTAGTTTCATCAGCTCACAAAACTCTATGCTTGATAAATTGTCAGGCCAAATATCATAACTTTTCATCTTTGATTTGCTAGTTCTTTTAGGATTTAGCAGGGCTGTTTGCAAAACTTGTTAAATAGTGAGCCTTATTTCTGACCCCTGAACAAAAGTAACAATTTTCTGTATTTCCTTCTTAAAAGTGGGCATTCTTATATATCTATTAAAAAAGAGCATAAAGGACATAATGCAAGCAAGAAGTAATAATAATTAATATTGCATACTAACAATACAGTGTTTTATCTAAGGGTTCTGTTAGATTTAACCTCAGTTTATTTACCATGTTCCAAATTTTAGTATGTTCTGTTTGCGTACCAAAGTACTTTGGTTCAGACTTCCTCCCCTACTTCAAGCTTTTTTTCCCCAAAATATAATATTGTTCCATATTCAGGAGTGGGGGAAAATATTTTCTAGTAATACAAAAAGAACTTGGAACAGATATTACTGCTTTATAAGTGTTGTAAATGGAAACAGTGTGGTAAGAATTTAATGGTTTTCTTCTGGCTCTATTGTTTATATGAACTTTAACCACAGGCAGCTGAATTAAAATGCAATACAAATTCTATTTGCTTATCTTATAGGAAGTGTAGTATAAAAACTGCTCTTGTTTAGATTTTGTAATTTGGTTTACTGCTGCTTTTCATATCCTAAAGAAACATTCCTGTCAATATTACCATATTTGCCATGATAGTTTGTTCAATGCCTGTTAGTTTGTTAATATTTTACCATAGATACTATACTGTGTTCTCTTGAAGGCTCTGTGTGTCCTTTAATGAAAACAGCTGCCCGTCATCTCAAACAAATCAACAGAGACAGTCGTGGTGTATCAGGTAAATGACCAAGCTAATATGAATATCTGTATTAATTAGCTGGTAATGATTACTGGGTGTAATCATAGTCTGACTGAATCTCGCTTTAAAATTGAAAAGTTAGGACAGAATGCCATCCCCAAAAAGCACCTAAAAGCTGCTGCTGCTCTCAAGAAGGTGACATTAAAATCAGAACATGTTTTTCCTCAAATGTATTGGTTCAAGTTCAGCAGCCACACTAATTTGCATGGTTTTTTTTCCAATCATCTTGCATCTTATCAATTCAGATGATAAAAGGAACTAGCAAATTAATTTTTCAGTTTTTAAAGTAATCTGTCAAGTGAATTTTGTGTGAATAGTTTTAATAAAATGAATATTGAAAGTATCTCTGATTTCAAGCTCTACTTTTTAAAATAGCTAGTCAGTCTGTATTCTAGAAATGCTAGTATGCTTGTATTCAAGTATGCTAAAAATTATTTACTTATGGTTATTAAATTCCATTAAATTGTATCATATTGTGTTCTATTTTACAGGATTTGATCTGGCAGAAAGCTTTTCTTTAAGGCAAACATCTTGTGGTGGGGAAAAAATCTGTTTTAAACTGGGAAGTGCACCTCTCATTAGAGATACAAGGTAAGATACTATTTTCATGCTTAGCTTTTAAAAGATAGAGCTCAGATTCAATGCTACTAATTAACTGAATCACTGAACATGTATCCAAAGAACGCCACAGAAAGCAGTATGGCTGTTTTTAGTTTTTTTCAGGTTCTTTTCTGCTGGAAGCATTTTGATTTTTGTGTACTTTCCTTCTGGAATCTGGGAGTATGTAGGTAGTAAGTTAATTGTGAAAAGCACTTTCTCAAATCATTATTCTAATACTGAAAATTCTACTGTTAATACATTAATATTTATAAAACAAAGGAAACAAATTTCTTCCATGGTATGACAGGAAATATTATACTAATCTCCCCTCAGCTCAGTGAAGTTGTCTCTCCTCTCTCTCACTACTGCTGGCAAGATTAAGGAGAGAGTATCACCATTTCCTTGAATGCTGTATTTTATGTTCCTTGTATTCACAATTTGCCTTAGAGCAGCAACAGAATAGTGGGCACTCAGTGCAGAGGAGTAAGTAGGCAAAATCTTATTCTGGCACAGGGTGGGATGAAAAGCAGAGACTGCATGAAAAATCAAAAGGACAGGGAAAGGGAGTAAGGCACAATTGGATTGGACGGACTTAAGTTTGCATAGCGACAAGGAAATGTCAAGAAGCAGTTAGGAATGTAGTCTCAAGTTCCCTGTGCTCAGTGGAGAGAGAGGATCATCTCAGAGCTTCTTGGTTGAGATGTGCTCTGAGTCATGGGACTGTGGTTTCTGTACAGCGTGTTCCTGCGATGACGAGGGAAGCAACTGTATTCCCATGTCTTCAGGTTGAGTATTTTCTGTTGCAAGAGGTCTGGCTCCAGCTTGCCTAGTAAAAAACCACACCTGGTCCTTGGACTTCCCCTTTGCATCCTGGGCATAGCACAGAGGGACTGTGAGTAGCATGAGGCCAGGGGAAAGGAAGAAGGAGAAGAGTTGGAGGCACCCACACACAAAACCAAGTAATCTTTGTGAGAGAAGCATGACTACAGAAAGAGTTTATCTAGTAATTTGAAATATTTAGGTTCTCTAAGTTTTTCTGATGTGTTTGATATCATAAGTGCAAATTCTTATGCTTGTGTAATTCTGCAAAGTTAAACTAATCACTTTTTTTTTTTTTTTAAATACATGGGATGCTAGCTGTTAAAGGAAAATTCAGTAGACAAAATTATTTGACATAAACAGTGCTCTTCTTTTATTAGGACCTTTCCACTGTTATCCAGATTTTCTTTAGAAGAGGAACAGGAGATAGTAGGTACCACCCATAAATGTCTATACTAAAAATATTTTGAGAGATTTTCCATAAGAAAACTTTCCTTGAAAAAATTAATCATTTTTCTGTTTTTTACAAGTTTTTTTTTTTCAATTTATGGGAATTTGAGGGAAACATGAGACTACAAGAGGGTAGAAAATCAAGGCAATAACCAAATATGTGGAGCAATTTTCCTTTAGGAATAAAAAGCTAAGTAGTGCTAAGAAATGTATCTTGTGCACTGACTTTATTTTGAAACAGTAAGAAAATCAGTGCCAAAAATGGAGTAGAGAGAAGCTAGAAATTGCAAAAGGGTTAACTATTTAAAATTCATATTACTTTGAGGTAAAATTCTTGATTCAAAGTATTGATTTCTAATTTCTGCGTGGTTTTAGAAGTGGTCTGAAAGGTCATGTTGAGGTTAAAAAAACATTAAGATTTCTTCTTGGTTTTATTTAGTAGGCCTGAATACTAATGTCTGTTTTTACTTCTTTTGAAAACAGTTTATTATTGACAGCAATCAAAATGAGGAATTCACACCATGGCTGATAGCTGTGACCTAACAAAGCCCTAACTATTAGCTATTGCAAGGAAACAGTTGTTGTTTGCCTTTTTTTTTTTTGCTATGTTTTATCTCGTCAGCTTTTTGAAGGGAGAGAAAAATTGGCTAGTTTTTCTCCATTGTCAGTGTAACTTGGGCAAGGGCTAAAAAATTTCAGTTAGGGGTAAACCTGGAAGGGAGGTGGCTTGGCTTTCATGGTCTCTTGGTTCTCATATTCCTCACTATCCCTGTTATTTTCTTCTGTGTATCCTCATTAAAGAAAAAGAAAAATAAAAAACTAAAGAGAAGATCTTTCTGGTTTCTCCTAAAAATATACATCTTTAATGGATGAGAAATTTAGCTGGATGAAGCAACTGAGATGTTGATTAATAAAATGCATATCAGTGCTAATATATGAATAAAGTCAGGGAGAAAATTAGTGTCATGTTATTGATGATAATAAGGTACAAGATAATATTTTCAGTCACCTTGCTGTGCAAGTAAGTTGTACGTCATACATATATCTTCCTGAACAATAAAATGGTTAAAAGTTTTATCAAATACATTCAAGCATTGCAGAACTTCTGTTAAATCCTTCTTCTTCATGGCAATAATCTTGCTCATCCTTTATTAACTTTCTTCTCAGAAATACATGTCATTAAAAGATGAATTCCATTCTTAATTATTTCAGCTTGTTAAATATAAAATTGCTTTCTGATATTGAGATAACAATTTCGAAAAATGTTTTTTAAAAATTTTCTTTAAAGTATGTTGCTTTTTAAACTCTTCTGAAGTTTTAAGGATTTTTTTTAAAATAAGGGCAGATGGCAGGGTCAAAAAGTCAGGTTTTGGGTTTTTACATGGTAGGGTTACAATAAAGGACAGTCAGAAGCTTGGGTATCTGTCATCATAACCTTATCATTTACTATCTCAATTACCCATGTACAATATATTTTAATTAATTATTTTTATTTAAACCTGCTTCTCTTACATTATGTCAGGTCGTGTGGTTACAGACCCCTTGTGTTATTAGATGGCTTTAGGGATCATTCTACCTCAGAAAATATTTTAGTAGACATGGTGTGCAGTAAGCAGCAGGACAGTGTTTGTTATCCATCCTGCAGGAAATTGAGAGTATCTGATTAAGCTGACTAGCAAGTATCAAGTAACCTGGCACATCTCCTCTTGCATTTCATTCATTCAGTTGTAGTGGGGGTAATAGAAAGCTATGCTGTGCCATTTTTCTTCTGTGATGCCATTTTGGTTTTTTTCAATGGACATGGAGTAGTGTTTCACCTATTTATATGTTGTAAATAATTTACAATGCACTGTCAGCTTGGGAAATTGATTACGTTTATTTATGTTGGACTTCAGCTGTAGGTCTTTATCTCTTTCTGTGATGCTGTTCTATATATATTTTGTCTTGTGATACCAGATGGATAGCTTTTCTCATGCTTTATGTAAATGACTGTAAAATATTAATGTAATGCCAGTAATACTTTACTGATTAAAACTGGGAATTGCTTATTGAAGTTCTTTGTGGACTTGAACAGAAGTTATTTCTGAGGAAATAAGTGTAACTGAGCTTTTGAGTCATAAAGAAAATCATAGTCAAGTACTGTTAGGCAGACAGTCTAATTATATAGTCAAAATCACACCACAGAATCATATAATAATAGTAATTATATAATGATTTCGTTTCATCTCAACAAATACCTTGGAGAGTCATATTTCTTCTCCAGACTTTAACATGTACTGCCCATGTAGTGTATTCCAGCTTGGCACAGAGTTGGCTGACAAAGGAGAACAGGGTTTTGTGCTGGTAGCATTCCTTTAGACCTGCCAGCAGTATTCAATACTTCTGGACATGAAGCCTCTTGGGCTAATCTTTGTTCTTCAGTTGCCTTAGAGTAAATAGCTCTATGATGAATTAATTTCACTGTCTTTCTGTAAGGATGCATCAGACATCAGTTGTTCCTCATTCTCACTTTCCTGGGTTGCTGGTGGGCCATTTTTTTCCTCTTCTGAAAGCACCAATAAAGGAGATAATAAGCTGGTTTCAGCTGACTTTCAGAATGTTTTTGAAATGGATGTTCTTGATTAGCAAATCTTCATGGCACAGTCACAGCTTTCTTATTTTGTAGTTTGTTTGGCTTGACAAACTGTATTAATTTACTGAGGAGATTATCATAGCTGGCTGTTAAATGATCTGAGTTACAGCAGTTGGGATTACTCTCAAGACTCCTTTAGGAATTGTTCCCCTGTCATAAGATACTACAAAAGAGCTTGGATTTTGACTGTATTTGGACTATGAGCTCCACCAGCAAAGTTGTTACTCACTGCTGCCAGAAGAGCTGTGGCTTGGGCCATATTTCAGAGAAAGTGTTTCACCTCCTTGGGATGCCTTGTTATAGGAGGAAGAAATACCGCTCCCACTTGCCTCAGTAAATTCTAGGCAGGAGCATTCTTTCTGCTAAGAACAGAAATTCCTGATGCATAATATTTTTGTGGGGTTTTCTGTTTGTTTTTAGTGCTAACCTTTTTAATCGCAAAAAAAATGTGGTGGTAATTCCATTTTCTTAGAACACAGCTGGCATCGAGAGAGGGGGTTTCTGTGCTCACTGTTAGAAGCCTTTTCATCTCCAGAAATTTGCTTTCCCAAAGCCATCTATCTCTACATGATTTTGCAACCATTTACTTTGCTGTCTGTTCTCTGTCTGTATCTGCTGAGACCACTCTCTTCACCAAACTAAAAAATACTGAGTTCCTTTCATAAACTTCAGCTCTCCTTGAAGGTCCTCCTGGGCATAATTTTTTATTATTTTTGTACATGGCATTTGTTTTGAGCAGCAGAGTTAGTTTCAATAGTCTTCTTGAATAATATTTTAAGACTTATTTTAGGAAGTTTTATTCCTATTTCTTAAAAGTGGTATAGAATAGATAGATGTGATATTCACTTGTTTCCAAAAAAATTCAGTGAAGACTTTTAAATGGTGACTGAAAACGGCAATGAGGTATTATTCCAGTCTTGAGCCAGTAGTTACAATTATTCAAACCAAGCTTTTATCTGTGCTGACACAAAGTCCTGCTAGCCTTTGGACTGTTAAAATATTAGATAGTTATGCAAGAAAATGCCTCTCCTTTACTATATCACGTATTTATTTGAGGTCATTTGAGCAGTTGAAGCCAACAATGCTAAGA